GCTGGCTCATGTTCAGCCGGCTGTCAACCAATACCCTCAGGTCCTTTTCAGCCGGGCAGCTTTCCAGCCACACTTCCCCAAGCCTGTAGCGTTTCATGGGGTTATTGTGATCCAAGTGCAGGACCCAGTGCTTGGCCTTGTTGAACCTCGTACAATTGACCTCAGCCCACCAATCTAGCCTGTCCAGATCCCTCTGCAGAGCCTCCCTATGCTCGAGCAAATCAACACTCTCACCCAATTTAGTGTCGTCTGCAAACTTATCGAGGAGGCACTCAATCACCTCATCCAGATACTTCCCTCTTTCCTTTCCCTGCCATCAGGACGGCCCTTGCCTTCTTTTCATAGTCCCTTGTCATTCCTGGTGACCCAGACCCTGGAACAAAAACAACCTCTTGCCTCTGTCTCTGTTCAGGAAGTGTCTTAGCCTTTCCAGTCAGGAGGTTGTATCACACTTCCTTGTGGTTTGACCCTTGGTGCTGGTCACCGGTCCTGAATGCTGTGAGTGGCTGCTGTATGGACATCTGCTCTTTTTAAGGGCTCTAATGTAGGAGCTGAGGAATTATAAATTTCATTTAAAGAATTAGAACTTCGTTAGGAATTCCCCTAATCAAATCCATAAAGGATGTTGATATTGGTTGGTTGGCTTGTTTGGTTTTGGTTTGGGTTTTTTTTTGTTGTTTTTCCTTTGCAGTGGAAGTACCTGCTGAGTTTATATCTGACTGAGGCAGATTTTAACTGTCTTGTCTGTGGTAGAAGATATGGTACAGCATGTGTATTTATATGGCTAGGAGATTGATATAGGAAAAGTGGCTGCCTAGTGGTATGGTTTCAGAGGTTGAGGTGAGGTGGGCTTAGGTGGGCCCTAATGATCACTTCTTGCAGAGTGAATTTTTGCCAAAAGCTTTAAAACTGCTCGTCTTTGAGTTAGGACTGTGTGTTGAGGACGTGAAAACAGCTCTCTGGAGTGTTTTGCATTTGGGAGTTGATTTCTTGCTGCCAGTATTGCAGAACTATGTTCTGGGACTTGGTGCAGAGGGAATAGTAGGCAAGACCCTGTCAAAGTACTCTAATGCTGTCTTCCTGTATGTTCTCAGGGCCAGAGCCAGTGCTGCTCTTTGCCAATAGAATTGATATCCGACAAGTGTTGCCTCATCGCTCAGAGTACACGCTGCTTCTGAACAACCTGGAAAATGCCATTGCCCTTGACTTCCACCACAGCAAGGAGCTGGTGTTTTGGTCTGATGTCACTCTCGATCGCATCATGAGGGCCAATCTGAATGGTAGCAATGTGGAAGAGGTGGTTTCCACAGGGCTGGAGAGCCCAGGTGCGTCACCACAAAAAAGGCAAAAGCTTGGGGACTGACCATGGTTGTGAAAATAGGGGTGGGTAAGGAGAAAAGTGGGTACTCAGCATTCAAAATGGAGTGCGTCTTCCTGAGCAAGGGGATGGGTTGGACGGAATGGATGTGAAATCAGTATCCCCCTGGAGTTAATCTTGGCTGATGGGGGAAGTGACAGGAGGACTGAATTGGGCCTCTTCTGAGGTGAGAGGGAAAGGGAACTATTTTTCTGAGTAGATCCTGCTCCTGGCTTCATTCCCTGCTTAATTCTTCTCTGGAGATAGGTGGACTTGCTATTGACTGGATCCATGACAAATTGTACTGGACAGACTCTGGAACATCTCGGATTGAAGTAGCAAACTTGGACGGCACTCACAGGAAAGTGCTTTTGTGGCAGAACCTGGAGAAGCCCCGAGCAATTGCCTTACATCCTATGGAGGGGTGAGTGAAAACATAGGACCCCAGTAAGTGCTCCATGAAAGTGTTTCCAGGCAAACACTGAAAACCCCATCCTTGGTTGCAAAGGCTGCCTCTGGGCTCAAGCCTTTATTTGGTAATGCCAGCTTGGGGAACCTGGCAATGCTGGGCAGCCTTCAGAGCCTTAATCCTATTCTGGGCCCTTCAGGTTTCACCGGCAGTGTTGTCTGACATATCCCATGGCTGTGACCCAGTCTCATGCTCGAGGGCACAGGACTGATACTGTTTTGCACTGATAGGGAGTGGTGCTGAGTGCAGTATGTGGGACATGAGTTTTCTAGCCTGTCTCTCCCTGCCTCCTCCAGCACTATCTACTGGACTGACTGGGGCAACACTCCCCGCATTGAGTATTCCAACATGGATGGCTCTAATCGGCGCATCATTGCGGATACACACCTCTTCTGGCCCAATGGCCTGACCATTGACTATGCAGGACATCGAATGTACTGGGTGGATGCTAAACATCATGTCATTGAGAGGGCTGACCTTGATGGGCGGAACAGGAAGGCTGTTATTAGCCAAGGTAAGTAACAGGGCTATGTATGGGGTGTGCTTTCTGCACTAAAGACGACAAGAGTAGCACAGTACTACTCTGAGTTTCAGAGCCACTGGCTCCTGCTTCTATGCTTGTCTCCTATTCTTTCACTCTGGGATGAATTCTGAAACCACAGAATCACAGACTGTTAGGGGTTGGA